ATGCTGTAATAAGTCCCCACCTCATCTTCATGCAGCAATGTGAACCCAAAACACTTTTATATTAGTTCCTTCACTGTCCACACATCAGAGATGCTCATGCATGATTGAGTATTGCTGCTCCAGTCCTGCTGGTGGACCTGACACCTCCTAGTTCTGGTTTAACAGGCAAGAACTTGAAGTACCTTCTGCCATCTGGACAGTTACCAGAACACAAAACCAGAAATAGAATGGAAAAAAACCGGCAGCTGAAATTGTAATACACTTCTGCAGTCCTGATCCAGAAATTAAAACCACAGAACACATGATCACCCTTCACTTAAAGAGAGTGATGAGTGGCCTGCTTATGGAATCAGGTCGTTTGTCTATTGAAGTTAGAAGGGAGACGACCCACCTTGCATTGGTCAGCCATCGACTCCACTTTATTCATCAATCAGGCACCTTTTATAACAGTGTTAATTCACTTCATGCATATTGCAAAATCTGAGCTCACAATAGGTCAGACATAACATACCAACCCCTCCTTATGTTTCCAATACCAAGATTTGGGTTCTCAAAATTATTCTTGCTTTCCCAAAACAGCCAAAAATAGAACATCCACTTGTTATGAGAAAGCTGCCTGAGAACTCTGATGTGCAAGGCTCTCAAGGCCGTCATGTTTGTCACTTTTACCTGTAATTAAAAATAACCTGAGAACCTCTGCTCTTCACAGAAACAGGCTGTGAGAACCTGCTCCTCACAGCTGCCTTCTAGGCCATCCCTGAAAAAATCTCCAACATTTGTCCTGTAACAAACTTTGTCGTGGTGTTTTGGGGGAGGGGGTTGATATCTGCTAGTCTCATCATCACTTAGAAAATATTTATTTATTAAGTAATGCTGAAATTATATAGATCATATCTTTACAGAAAATAAACACATCATTTATATGACAGAAGATAATATACTCATTCTGTCAGCAAGACATTTTCACAGGATTCAAAGCAGAGGAAGTAGATTCAAATGACTGGAAATTCACTGATGTACTTGCAATGCCTGTGAGGGCTTCTGTTTCTCCTGCACCTCCATTTTGGAGTATTCTAAGCACTGGCAATAGCTACACAGCTGCTTCCTTTCGATAAAAGGTTGGAGCATATTTAGCCAATTAAAAGCTATGCAAATGCCTCACACATAACTTCCAGGAATTTGTTCTGCAAGATGAATTTTTATTATTACAAAAAGTATTTATCAAATTATTTAGTTAAGTATTTCCTTCATGAAAACAAGCACAAGACCACAGAAATGTGTAACATTACCATAAAATGTGAATGCAAGGAAGGTTTAAAAAATATATTATCATTATGAGGTTATATAAATCTCTGTGGCCTACTGTCCACAGGTGTACATATACATCCCCTACAATCCCTTCCGAAGTAATCAGAGGGCTACATAATGCATTCTACAATAGTTCAATTAGCACACATCTTTTGTTTTCCAACAGTACATTACTTAGGTTCTTAGGTACCAGAGAGATAAGTATCAGTTCCTAAAAAGACTTAATAATAACCATTTTTCTATACAAACTCCAGTGAAAAAGGTCTTTCATTCAATCCTCTGGAGGACAATCAAAGCTCCACCAACTTAGTTTTGAAATAGTCTGGACTAAAGGAATAGAAAGTGTTACTCAATCCTCCAGCACCCTTTTGATTTTTCTTTGGAATATTCATTAAATAACAGCAACTTCAACCATTTCAAATCCATTTTTCAATGCAAAACCACATCCCGTTGTTACTACACACCCACACAAGGAGACAAAAGGGTTCATCCAAGCCTCTCCTAAATTAACAGCACTCTAGAGAAGGCTAGCCATACACGAGCTCAGACTCTGGATTCAGCACTGCTTCATCCTTCCATGCCTCCCAGTCACGCCCCTGCTCCATCCTAAATCTTCTGTGGTTACCTTAGCCTAATCAGACTGGAACAATAAATAAGGGGGAGAGAGGGAGGAAAGAAAGGGATGTCTCATTTCTGAGACACAGTAATTCTTAAAATATATTTGTTTTAATCTGCATGATTTAGTCACATGCTTCTGGAGAATATTTATAAACTTAATGGTTTGCCCACTTGCGTTTAACGTGCCATCCTCTACTCACTTCTCAATCTCCTTTTTTTAAAAACATAAAAAAATGTTAAAGAACCAATCAGAAAAAGGTTCAGAACAAAGGGCAGATGCAAATTTATTAATGTAAGTGAAGCATAACAAGCTAAATGTAGTAAAACATAAATGCTGTATAGCTATGCTACTTACTGCTACAGAGCAGTTAATTTGGAAGCAACAAAATGGTGTTTCATTTTGACAGTACTTTGACCATGAATCTTAAAAAAGAAGACTGAAAGGTAGTCATGAAGTCTATCATAATAACTTAAGTGCTCCATCAAGAATAATCATAATTTATATTTAAGGGTAACAAATACGTAGGCATGAAAAGAAAAGAATGTGTTTTAAAAATTATGTAAATTATGTAAACAAAAAAAGTTACAGTACCATTGTATTTTCTACACCACAACTGAATAAATATTACTGGAACTACACAAAAAGGGGCTAAAAAACTTTCATGCCCTCTCACTGTAGCAGAATGGAAAACTTTTTAAATAGTAATAAAAAAAATGAATTGCTGTTTCTAGTATACAATATTACTCATCTAAAAAGAAAGTAACAGAAAAGGTTGCAGCTCAACAGCTGGGCTGCAGCAAACACCCTGGGGAAAAAAAAAAAAAAAAAGGCAGCAACAACATTTCCAGAAATACAGAATTTGCAGTGAAAGTGGAAAGTGTGAACTTTCCATCCTCTATTTCATGATTTTGACTGGTCCTACAGTAGGGAACCTAAATGAAGCACAGTCATATTTCTATGCGTAATACACCAAAACTGACTACAGACTAGCTTCCTGTTAGCTTTAACCAAGAGATTATCATTCCTTCCTAACACCTACAAACCACCTGAGAAAGAGACTGGTTATCAGCCTATAACATCACCAATTACCTCACTTTTACATAAAAAGTATACAATGCAGTTATGTCAAGGGTTTTTGTGCAGATTTAGCCCATTCTATAAAGGCAGACAAACTAAAGGTACTCAGATGCCAAACTTTTGCAGACTTTCCAAAACAAATGTTACACAAATGAAGCAGATGTACATGTATGCAACTCATAGTGGTTGGAGTATCAGAGCTACCATCTTTGCAAGGCATATTTGGTGAAAAGCATTACTAAAAACCTCATGTGTAGTCAGAAACAAGATTTAACTATCCTTTCTATAAAAACACCTTCATTTTCTCAAAACAGATGCCACTGGCAATCCTTGCACCCTTCAACAGGTAACACAGTACTTAACAGAGTTACAGCTCCATTTCTCTACAGGTTTCCCTACCAAGCAGAGGTAAATCCGGTTCTCTTTTACATACTCAGTCAACCAGAGCAGACAAGTTTGCTTAGATAAAACATGCCACAGTAAATGATGATATACGATCTCCACTTACAGCGATCCTGTTTGCTCACTAGAAGAAAGCTAGGACTGACTACGTGCAGGGAACGATTTACATTCATGGGACAGAGCACATTACATCCTTTCCAGGTCCTGAAAATGTGCTTCTGCAGCAACAGAAGCCAGTTTACGCTATCAGTCTTAGAAACGTTTAAAGAGGTGCTCTATAAATATTGTTTATTTCTATTTCAAAATACCTCAAAAATTGCAAAGCATAGACAGCAGAACATTAAGAAAAAGATAAATTATAGGTATATTAAAAAGAAAAAAGGAGGAACCTTCACTGTGAGCGAAAAAAGAGTCTAACAGCTGTGATTAGTGAGCCGTGTGTTTATACATCTTTCAACATTATACAAAGCACTGGGTGAATTTCAGACTGCCTCAGATGGCAAAAGACGGTTCAAAGAAACTTGTTGACAATGCTGTTAAAATAGAAAAATATATGAAGGCAAAAAACCGAAGCCTATTACAAATGTCAAATATAGGATTATAAAGCAATACACAGAGATTCTAGACTTGAATCTCGGTGTATAATCCAACCATCTGTCGACCAGCTGTGTAGCAATATCAAGATAAAGAGCAAATCTCCAAAAGGACAGCCAAATTCTTTTCCTTCAGCTACTGCATTTCCCCTCTCATGAACATGCCCGCGGCAATCGCACTTTGCCTGCAGATTAACGCAGAGGAGATGACACCCGCCACCAGCAAGAGATCGCGAAGGCAACCTTGCCAGATAGGGCCGATAAGCAGGGCGCTGAGCTCCCGTGAAGCGGCAGCAGCGGCTGAGGCAGCCTCACCGCGCCAAGGGCGGCGGGTGCGGGCTCCGGGTCGGCTCAGCGCTCACGGCCGGGCAGGTGTGAGCGGGGCTGGGGCTGGGGCTGGGGCCGGGGCTGGGGCTGGAGCCGGGACTGGGGCTGGGGCTGCTGCCGCCGCTGCTGCTCGGGGCCAGCACGCTGCTGCTGCACCGCGCAGCCCAAAACTTAAACTCGCTGGAGCGGCAGCGGGCTCGTTCCTGACTTCTCTCCTAGCCCCGGGACGCCAGCGCGGCTCAGCCCGGAACCGGGCATTGCTGCGGGTCCCGCAGCTCCCCTGAGCACCCTCGCCCAGCAGAGACCTCTCTGGAGAGGCTCCCCTCGGCAAAAATAAAAACTCTGAGGGGTGCCCTGAGGTGGGAAGTCCCCGAGAAGGGCGGCCTCACAGCGGCGGGGAGCGGTCCCGGGGTGCACGGCACCCGGGGCTCCAGCCCGCTCCGGGACGGCGGGCAGCGCAGCGATGCCCTGCCGCCCGCCCCGGGGCACGGCCGGGAGCTGCCCCGTGCCCGGCCTGGACACCAGTTGCTCGGCCCGCGGTGGAGAAGCTGTAAAAGGAGCCTGGGGGCGGCAGCAGAGCTCCGGGGGAAGCCGGACCCCAGCCTGCGGGCGGTGGGGCGCTTGCCCCATACGGGGCAGACGGAGGATCCGGCCGCGCAGCCCTTCGTTCTCACCTCCTTAAGTTCCTTGGCGACATCTTTCAGGTCTCCCAGGACTAATTCCAAATCCTCCACGATGATCTTGATCTGCTCCTTCACCTTGGTTTTGGAGGCTGCCGGCGGCCCCTCGGACGGCGAGGAGGAGGAGGATGCGGTCCCCTTGGACTGGGCGGACATCCTTCGGGGCAGCCCGGCGCGGCCAGCGGGGCACGCAGGTCAGGCGAGCGCGGCGGCCGCCGGCCGCCCGGCCCCGTCCCTCCAGCTCCCGGAGCTGCCGCAGCCGCTGCCGCCACCGCCGCCTGCCCGCCCGCGCATCCCGCGCCGGGGGCGCCGAGCCGCGCCGCGCTCCGCCGGGCGGCCGCGCTGTGCAGCTGCCATCGGCTCCCGGAGCGGCGCGGGGGCCCGGCTGCAGCCCGCCGTGCGCCGCGCCTGCGCCTCGCCCCGCCCGCGCCGCCGCCCGCGCCCGGCCCGCCCCGGCCCGGCCCGGCCCGGCCCCGGCTCCGGGCGGCAGCGGGGGCCAGGGGAGGAGCGCCCACCGCCCGCGCTGTTGGCGCGCCGCGGAGGCCCAGCGGCTTGCTCGGAAGAGATGCTCTCCGCTCTCCTCGGCGCCCGAAGGCCCGTGGGGGCGAGAGCACCGTGCTGTAGCTCCCAGAGGGTGCGCAGCTCTGCCTCTCCCCGGAGCCCCCCGCCGCTGTCCGCAGGAGCGGGACGGGTCGCACCGGGTCTGACGGGAAAAAGGTCAAAAGCCGCCAAAACAGCCCCCAAAAAGGAAACGCTTTTCGTGGCTGGCTCATTGAAGAAGACAAAAGCAGTGCCTGTTTCTGCTGATAAAAGTCATTATTGGAGGGGTGGCACTCACACACCTGTGCTGTTAAGTGGCCGGCGTCTGGAGTGTACATGGCTCGGTTTGGACTAAGGAATGAGCTATGGAAGGACAGTGTTGTGTAAATGTCACCAAATCAGTAAAAGGCATTTTTATGTCCCTACTCACCTGTGTAAACTGTGCTGCAGAAACACAATGATCAGGAGACCCTGTTCTGGTTGGGAAGTCAAGGTTGTGTATCACACCATATAGAAATAAATGAGGCACATGAGCCCGAGTATCTTTCACGAATATTCTTTGAGGCTCTTTCTCTGAAGTACCGGCCAGTGCCATCCTTCCCCTACCACTCTCCAGAGATGGATCTGTGAAGAAAAATTAAGAGATTGTAAGATATAACTAACCTCTGATGGTTTTCCATTTTACTGCAAAAGAAGCTAAAAGGAGTTTGTTTAGGTATTTCTATTTTCCACTAGCTATGAACAGCGAGAAGAGGGCATGCAGCCAACTCATGCTTTGAACATCACCCTGCATGGCTGCAGCTGACTTTGATGTTGTAAATGTTTCTAAGAGTTTTGGCAGCCTGAGATGTTTTAACCTAGCTAAAGCAGGACAGGAAAAGCAACCTTGCCCAGAGCAGTGTGTCTGCACGTGGTAAAAATCCCACTTGGTGACGAACAGTTTGTCTCTGGGAAGACTGTAGGACTGGGATATGAATAGAGAGGGCCTGACAGCACCTGTTACTGCCTAGGATGAAGTGTAATTATCTTTCCACATTTTGCCACTATAAAATTTGTGATATTTGGCTGAAATTGTGAATATTAGTGGGTATGGAGCTTAATTTTTTGCCCAAGTATCTCAAAGATGTTTCAAACAATTTCAAGGAGGTCATGTTCAAGAAGAGCCCCTGTCTTTCCTCCGAACTTTTCTCAAGTCAAATGAGAGATTTCTTTTTTATCTCACCAAGTGAAAGCTCTTCCAACACTGACTTTTAAAATCATTCCCTCTGGTTATTTTTACTTAACTGTTTCTATATGAGCAACAACATCATATGATTTTTGAAGCTGGCTAAGTCAGAATTTCCAAACTGCAGTCACCACTAAATTAGAAAGAAAGCAACCCACAAGTTGTTGAATAAGTTTTAATTAATGTGTTTGAATATTATTCCTCAGGGGTATAGTATGAACAGAAAAAAATAAAACATTTATGAAAAGCTATCAGTGGAATTATCTATGCAGAAACCAGCACACATCCAGTTTATAATTAGAGAAAAAGGCCTATTTTGTGACAGAAGTTAAGGTTGCTGTATGACTGTATACCTGGCTACACACAACATGGCTTAAATAGATAAGGGGCAGTTTTCTTACTGTACAAATAATTATCATTGTCACAAAACTGCTACCAGATTTGATACAGACACAGTAATTTGAGCATTTTATAGATTGTCTCTGTATAAAGTGTTGCCATGTCTCACTGCTAAATATTTTTCATTTTAAGAAGGAATAATCGATTCCTGTTCTTCTATATCATCAGTTAGTTTTAAGTCATGACAAGACTTTACCCGTAATCCTGTGGTTATCCAATTCCTGTAAGCCTGTGACTATCTTTGGAGATTTCCCAAACTTTTGGAGATATTAATCATGTTCACTTTCCCAATCCTTCCACTTCTGTAGTGACATTCTTCCAAGAGCTGTGCAGGATTATACAGTGGTGCTTCATTCAAGTCTCTACTGCTTAGCCCTGAAGAATACTGACAGCACTTCTAGGTCCTGAATAAAGTTTATTGTCCTATTGGTCTTTAAAGCAATTTAAAGCCTTTGGAAAATGTTCTATACTTTGCCAAACCATGTCTTAGTTAACTAATAAGTCCTTTCCCACAGCAAAGTTGTCTCTTAGTAATTTCAGCTATTTTTTCTTCTTTTTCTGCATATAATGTTATTTATTAATGTGCTGTCAGTTTATTGTTTTTATAGTCTTTCTGTCTATACCTTCACCAAACCTGAACTGGCTAACCAGGCAAAATAAGAGCAACTCCTTATCAGAAGTTGACCTCTATAGGGTGTTAAAGAGATGCAGAGGATGCTCAAGAAGTCCCCCCAGAAATTTTGGGGACAAAAGTAATTCAAAAAGTAGAAATCTTACAACATTCAAAGTACAGTTCACTGATTTTCCATTAACACTTGAAATCCAGGAACACTTACTCAAGGAAAAAAGAACCCAAAAGCCCACACAACATATTAAATACTTACTTAGTGAGGTGCCATATCACTGTGTCAGTGGTGATCTCAATTAATTAAGTTTGCAAGTTGAGTAAGACTTGCACTAATTGGGAAGGACCTCTCTCACAAAAATCTATCAAGATGCTGCAAAGTTTTGTTTTGGTGATTCAGTAGATGGCACTTTTCCTTCTGGAAAAAAACATCCTATATCTCAGCCAAGTGTTACAAATAGAATGAACTGCACTCACACAAAGCAGTGATTTTATCATGCTGTTTTGTTTATGCTATTTATTTTATGTATAGAGTCACTAAGATTTGAGAACTATGCAAGAAATCATGAGTTATCATAAAATGTACATGAATCACAGAAATTATTTTGCATGAAAGTCAGCCACAGCAGTAATATAAGAAATGTTTTGACTTTTAAATTTAATCACTTTTCTCTTACAAAAAACAAACAAAAAAAAAGTCCCAGATGCTTGCCTGCTTGGAGGGACTTCTTTAGCACCATAAAATCTTTGTAGTTATTCTTGTATGAGAATATAAAGTGCCATGGGAGCACTTTACAGATTATAGATGTAAAACTACAGCCCAGTTTCCTCCAGTTGTTAGTATTTCAGATAAATTAATAAAAAATAATTTGATTTTGCCTGATGCAGGTATTTTGTTTGAAGTCTGGGCTATTTATCAAAGGCAAAAGTTCCATAAATCCTTTTAGGTCAAACAAGATCTGGATGTTATGATTAATTTTAAATCATTGTGAAAGTTTCTAACCAAAAGCAATTGATTTACAAGGCAAAAAGATGTTTACATCTTAATTTGGTGAATGATAAAATACAACCGTAATTTATTTTCCATCTCTCTTTAAAATGTGTCCTTAAAGGAGTATTCCACTTATCCACATACAAGTTAGGGAGGCAGTGAAACAGTAAAACTGTCTTTTTCTTGCCAAATGAAATTGTGTGGAAGAAAGCTAAAATCAATTGCCAGAGGCTTGAATGTTGGACACATAGTATTTAAAATGTTCAATAAAATCTTCAAAATTAATCATAAGTTAAATTAAAACAATGGCCTAAGATAAAGTACCAATGCCACTAACTTGCATTCCACTCAATTGTGAAAGACAGATTTTCATCTTTCATACTTTTCATCCTAAAAGAACAGTATGATTACATCTTTTCAAAATGCTTCCATACTTAACTGAATATTCTGTTCTTTCTGTAACTCTTAGACAGATTTTTAATGGTTCTGATGAGAAAGTCACTCTGGCTGCTTATGTTCCAAACTGTAGAGTTCTAGTTCATTTGCAAAGGAGCTGAAAAATTTTTCAGTAAAAGGAAAAAAAAATAAAACTAATTTTGGAGGTGATATGATGACATTATAGTCTGACATAATAATGACATTATGTTCTTCCACTTTTTTAAAAACAGGTTATTCCTTTAAAAACACCTCAAAGTCTCACAAAAAAAAAAACATACTTCTGAAAAAGCATACTTCTGAAGTCAGGTCACTTATTTCCAAAATGTAGCTCAAAAATACACTGGAAGTCAAGACTGGGACAACATCACGCTTTGCACCAATTACTTGTCCTACTTCTCCACCAAATTGATTCAAAATCATACATACCATATGTATAACATGAAAGTCATCCCTTTCTGTCAATCCATAGATACTTCTCATCAGGATTTACGTATTGGTTAACAAAGTTCAGGATTAATTATTTGTGAAGCAGAACTCTAGGCATGGAGTCAAGAAGCTGAACACACACCTACAATTGTCTTATTCTCCTTTTGAAGTAAAAGTAGAGCAGAGTTTTATGGAATCCAAACCTATTTTCCTTGCATGTTGTTTGTAATGTGTAAAATGATTATGGCAATAAATGTTACTTTCCCGATCTGGCAAATCCTTTGTTTGGTGATGTTGTGAAAAGAAGGAGTGGTTATTTTCTCCTGACTTAAAAACATACATGCCGTAATTTTTCTGTTAAATATGAATAAAATGTATCCTCTGCATCACTTATGTTCCCTCAGTCTGCTCAGGATAGAATGTCACATTTATTAACCCAGTTTAAAGAAAATCTATTTTAATGTCTCAGTATTGAATGCCAGCCCACAAGATTTACTCCAGTTTCATGGGGAAGTGCTGGAAGATAAATATGTTGAAATTAGGTCCTTCTTTGAATCACTTCTGTTCTATCAGGCTTCC